ATCGGGAAAGAAAATATACGGCCTTGAAAGAAAGAACAGGCAATAAAACGGAACGTCCGTGTAAAAGAACATAGCTATGGAAGCGTATAACACGGTATCTTTCCTTTTTCTTCGATATCGTTCTTTGAATTCCGCGAATAAAACACAATTACACTCGGGGAACGCTAAACGGGGCAGCAGCACATAAAAAGGGAGAAGAACGAAACATGTTGGAATTCTACGCGGTGTGTAGGCGAATGAAAATGAAAGGGTCATTTTTTATTACCTATTCTAAACCGAATATACATTATTTTTATGCATGTTATACTTCGTATACGTTTAAGCAGATGAAAGGAAGAAATAAAAAAAGAAAAAAAAAAGCAACAACGACTAAACGTTCTTTTTTTTTTTTTTTTTACAAACAGAAAATAAGAATAAGAAGCAAAAGTAAATAGTAAGCATTCAACCACAACTTTATATTACATCTTATTATATATTTATTATAATTTTCTACAAAAGAAAAAGAGAGAAAGAGAGTGCATTGCCCCATAAGAGTCGATTTAGACAAAAGGAACAATTACGTACGACCATCTGTTTCTTCCGTTAGTTACGAGAAAGCATCAACTTTTCCGATACACTTGAAATAAAACATGTTGAGAATGACTGTCCTATAAGAAAATCAAACAATTGAATAATCTATTGATCACTAATTACATGCGATTACGAATAACGGAAGCACTCTGTAGTTATAAAATGAACAGATCAATAAATGAATCATAAAAATTGTCGATAAAATAGTCTATACATTAATACGCATTTCTATTTCGTCCAAAGCGTAAATCATTCGTTATCATTTTCTACATCATTTATATGGCTTACATTTCGCGATATAATATATTTGAATTTAAACATTCGTATATAGGTAGGTAACACACGGTGAGCCAAATTACGTGTTATGTTTGAACAAGCGAAATTCTCATCATGCAATACAATCTTTGCAATATAATGAAATACATATTAAAGCGTGAAATCTATTAATTCGTGAAATAACTTAACTGACCGGTTAAAAAAAAAGTATGGAAGAAGGAAAACTTATATACTTCAATTAGACAATACATGAATTTGCGAATGGTGAATAATTAAAGTATAAAATTGAAATTTGATCCTAAGTATACAAAAAATATTCTTCGATTTCGTTTCTATATCTGCCTATACTCCACTGTTACGAATCCGGAGTCAGAAAATATGTATTTCTTTGTTTTAAGGTTTAACGAATCTCAAGATAAAGTTTCTCTATATTTTCTTCGAAAATTATGAAAACGAAAATAAAATAAACGCGAACAATCGATGTCCTTAATTTTCATTGATTTACATCGATCGCGATTATCATTATTTTCAATAAAAATGTTGTTCAGCGTCCGTCCATTCATTGTACTGTTTTTATATTCATTGTCAATCTTTTCCGAACGCCGAGAGATATAAAAATGATATTAGAAAAGTATGAAATTTATTTTGCGTGTACGTATGCGTGTTTTATTGCTATATAAAAGATATGCATATATTGTACGAGTGTGTGTACTGCTTACGAGTGATATACAAATATATATATATATGCGTGTATATATGACTATCGTGTATAAGACAAAATACATTTAACGCAATTAGTTATCGAAATATTATCTAATGTTAATGAGAACATAAATGCGGTAGAAAAATGCATAATATTTACGTAATACAGGAACACACGGCTAAACACGTCTGATCGGAATCAGAGAAGAATGATGACTGAAAAGGGAAGGGATGAGTAGAGGTTAAGCTTATCGAAAGAACGGTTTCTCCGTTATTTAATGTTTTGTTTATATGTATAAATATACCTCACTTCTCAGCCGGTGTTTACATTCAAGTGTTGTCGTTTTCACTCTATTAAGAATCTCGTCGTCGAATTTTAAAATACATTGAGCTTCGTTTACGTTCGGTATCCGTCGAGTATATTTCGTAGCTGTTTTCGTAATTATTGTTAGTCTTATTCGAACGTTGAAATATATAACAACGATATTAGATAAGTATTATATATAATACATATATGTATATACGTATGTATATGCCTAATGTTAAATTATTTCATTTAGTTAAATCGTGAAACATTAGGTTTTACTGAAAATAAGTAGAGGTTTATTGTGAGAAAACATATCAAAAGAATCTTATTATTTACTAAAGCTTGTAGTTTAAAAAAATAACGAAATTATATATATATTTACAAGTAATTATCTTTTCTTATATTTGAAAAACTTATGTGTTGTTAATTGTATTGTTCTTTTTTCGATCTAATCTACAGATCAAATTTTAATATTATACTTTAACAAGTATATTAGTTATTTCAGAGAAATTAACGATTTTTACAATTTAATCTATACATATATATATATACAGAATATTCATATCTCTCTCTTTCTCCCTCTCTAAATCTCTCCAAAAATGTTTAAATGGTTTGGACGAAAAAAAAAAAAAAATAAAGATTAAAATTACAGAGATGAAAAAATCGAACAAGTATCTCCCTGCGCTCTCTCTCTCTCTCTCTTTTACTACGGTTATTTTTATTAAATTAGATATAATGGAATTCTTCGATGAATCACGCGACTGAATAAAAGATGAATCCTCGCTGTAAAAGCGCGCGCGTGTCAGACAGAGACAGAGTGATGACCGATGAGGAGAGAGAGAGAGAGAGAGAGAGAGAGGATAGCGAGTGAAGAGCAAAAACGATCGAGTGCCTGGGGTGAAAAAGCTCAGAGAAGAATGTCGATATTAATAAAAGTTCAATTCAGCCAATCGTTCGTGGGAATTAGAATAGAGGCGCTTTTCGAAAGAAAATAAGAAAAAAATTAACTAGCCAAGATAAAGCTGACTTTTTAATGTCGACTGATTGACAGATAATAAATATATCAACTTTTTTCTATATATTTTAAAATTCAAAATATATTAAAATGTAAAATCAATAGTCCAAAAAAATTGTGTTCACATTTAAATATATATATATATATTACTTAATTTATTTAAAAGAGAAAGAAAAAAAAACACCACAAGGCGCGTGTCTCGTATAAAAATAATTCAATGTTTTATATGTTTGATATATAGAACTACAATTTTTCTCTCTAACGTATTTTGCTTTAGAAATATAAAATATGTGATGGAATTTGATTGATAAAAAAAAAAAACATAAAAATAAAAATAAAAAGGAAGCAGGAATTAAGTCGATCACGCTTATTCGCTTCATCGATCACGAATGCGCGATAATGCCGTTTTATAAAAGAATGGTAATGAAAGCGTAACAAACGATTTTTTTTGTCTCGATAAGATATATCGTCGTTTGTAACGATCGCGTACGAAAGAATGACAAAAAGAAGGGGTGGGGTGGGGGGGGGAGAGAGAAGAAAAAAAAACGAATCGCGTTGAATGTGCGAGAAATGAGAGAGAAAAAAAAAATCACGGGCACTCGATTTAAACGGTGGAATGCCAAACGGGAGACAAAACTTTTCCTTTCCTCGCCGATAGACGTGGATGCTGATACCTGTTGCATGCTGGCGGAAAAATAAAAAAAAAAACACGAGGTGTACTGATAGGACGATTTAATGTCTGAATTTATTTTCACGGTTTACTATTCCGTACACACACACACACACCCATATTTACACGTGTCTTTTTTTTCTCTTTTTTTTTTTTTTGCACGGCGGAAATTACGAGCACACATTATGACACCCTCATCGAGATGGGTACTTTATCGCGATATATAAATTGCGTTGCTAAAGCTTAATGAATAAAAATATGAGGAATAAAAATATAGGTGAGATGATTGTCTCTCTCTTTCTCTTTATTTATCGATCTCTATCTCTTTTCACTATTATACATTAATTAAGCAAACGAAGAAACGTGATATTTCTTTTTATTTTTGAATATACATTATCTGAATTAATTGAATTATATACTTAAATGGTAACAAATATCAGGTGTAGCAATTAATATATATATATCGGTGCATTGATATTCAATTTATTTGATCAAAATTGCCATATTTTTTTAGTCAAGGAATTAAACAGTTGACTGAATGATAGACTAAAGTTATTGAAAATAATAGAAATTATATTTCGAAGATTAATAGATGTATTATTATTTTGTATATAAATATTATGTTGATATTAAAAATCCAGCGAATTAATTGCTACACTTTGTATATCTCTATTAGATACATATACGTAAAGTCTATTTAATCGACGATACGATGCGTGAAAAGCGCTCATCGACGAGCTGTCTATCGCATGTATCATCTATTCTATGCAATCTCATCGAAATTCGTTCTCTCCAACGTGACTACTATCGATAAGCAAATACCCGAAACATTTTCGATTCAGTCGATCTGTCGCGAGCTCAAATTCGACCTACAACTCGTTACGTCAAATGCTTAGATGATTCGCTCAAGTGCTTTCGATCCCTTCTCGCATGACACATCAACGATTCACTTTCTTCTTTCCTTTACTAATCACCCGAAAGATGATAATTTCGATGCCTACGTTTTAAGCCATCAAGTTTTAACACATCGTATATATTTAAAATTTTATTAAAATAAACAGTCAATTTCTTAAATGAAATATTTCCAAATTATATCTCTGAGTACGAAAATTTTGTAGAAAATTTGTAAATAGATATAATAATGTTAAAACGATTAATTTCACGGATAAAATGTTAATAATAATCAAAATATTAATATCAAAATATTAACATTTTTATCTAGAAAAATTTGTAGATAAATTATCAATGTCAATATGATCTATCAAGATTCTTTAGATAAGACATTACAAAATAATATCTAAATAAGTAAAGTTTTATATTGAAAACTATGAAAATATATCAACATTAATTAAATGCAACAAAATTGAAAATAATGAATAAAATACTTGATATATAATAAAATGAATGAAATAGAGAAAAGAATAAATCTTTAAACGTAGACATTAAAATTTGTTTTGCAGGTGAACGACCGTACAAGTGCCATTTACCGGACTGCGGACGGGCTTTCATCCAACTATCGAACCTTCAGCAACATCTTCGGAATCACGATGCCCAGGTGGAAAGGGCGAAGAACCGACCATTCCACTGCAACATCTGCGGCAAGGGCTTCGCCACGGAGTCCAGCCTCCGTACCCATACGTCGAAGGTCAGTCATGTATGTACCAAATCCGACGTCCAACACACGCATTATCGCTATGTTAAAGAGATAATGGGCTGGGGCCGCTGCCCATGGATTCGAGAAAGACGAAGGTCGATCGTTATACGCGTGAACTCGTAACGAACGATGATCTCTTCTCTTTGCCTATATTTCGTCTAACTCTATCTTATTCGATCAATCTATTGTCTTAACATTTCTTCTATCAGTAATAGTATTTTCTATTATTCGAGAAAACCAGGCACGCACGCACGCAACATTACGCATACACGGTGATGGGTCACGCTTGCATTGAATTTTCACGTGATTATAGGTCTATTCCTAGATCGAAGAATTAGTCCCCCCCTTTTCGTAATCACAATTGGACAAAAAAAATAAAGAATTAGATCATCTTACATATCGATCTTTACAATCTCGATTTTTAATTTAGGCATCTGTGTGTCCGCTGATATAGAAATCTCTCTTTTATCGCTTTCAATAGTTCTCGCTTTAATTATTTCTAAAGATGCTTCGCTTCGCTTTGATTCCGGTATCTTACGTAAAGCTTATTTTTAAATATATATATTAAATAAATCTATAATAAATCTATTCATCGCGAGGAGAGAGAAAAATGCTTAAATAATTTAGAACGAATCTTCTTACCCAGTATATTAGTTATTTATCTCAATCTGTTAATGTTAAAACGTTTGAAATTATAACGGTTACATCGCCGAAGGGCCTGTGTACTATCGAAAGAGAAAAAGAGAAAGAAAGAAAGATAAAGAGAAAGAGAGAGATAGAGGAAGAGAAAAGAGACGAGATAAGGAAAAAAATAGGAAACAAAAAACCACATCAAGTTTCTACCCTTCGACGCCCTTTAGCAAAAGGGTTGGATGAAATGCATCGTAAAGACGGCGAAGGGAGTTCTCGTTCTTTCGTAAGGAGGAAGAAGGAACATTCGATTTACCCTAACCGTTGGACCAGTCTTTATTTGTATTCCTCTTTTTCTCCCTCTTCCTCTCTCTCTCTCTCTCTCTCTCTCTCTCTTATTCGGGAAATGTGTTCGCGAATACGATCGATCGAATAGAGCCCTTTCGCAAGGATTCCCAATAAAAAACGCGATCTCTCTTTCACTTGCAATGAACGGACTAGCAAGTAACCGAGCAAGGAAGCAAGCAAGCAACTTTCTCAACCCTTTGAACGCGCGCGTCGGGCACATGTCTCGTCGAAAAAACGTGGGAAGGCATCTGTTGAGAATACGCGAGGAAAGGGTGAAGGAGGGAGGGAGGGGAGGTCTATGCCTTCTCTTCTTCTTCTCTTCATCTTCCGTCGCGAATAGGAGGAGTGGTGGTCTACGGTGAAGCTTTTTGCCGATACCAATTACATCGGGGCTCCTAACAGTCTATCTCTCTTTCTCTCATTCTATTTATAGACGACGCGTTCACAACCGGATCGTTGTTGCTACCACTGAGATAAGACCACTTTTCCTACGTTGATCGAATCCTGTTGTTCGACAAATCCTGTTTTTCTTTTTTTCTCTCTCTCTCTCTCTCTCTTTGTTATTATTCATCATTATTCAGATAAGAAAACACGAACACAAGAGTGATACGAGGTTTAGATCAAATATGTGTTAATTATTTAGTATATGTATATATCTAATTTTGATTCTTATTTTTTCTTTTTTTATTCGAAATAATAAAACATCTTAATTTTAACACATACACACACACAAAAAAAAAAAAAAAGAAAATAGCAACGCGCGTCAGTCAGGCTCGTAATATTAAACGAATTTTCTTATACTTTAATCCTCTCGTACGTCGGGTCTTCCCACGCCAATAAATATTCTTCTTTTAACGCCCAGCTCTCATCGGGATGCTCTAATTGAAAGCTAATCCACGGTTAAGGCTCGAGTGGTGATCCCACCTAGTCCCTTCAGGCACGGCCTCGATAAATCTCCGGTAACGTCGCGTCAGCGAACCCACCCATCCGCCTATCCTGTTTTCCTTTTTTTTTTTCGTTCCTTTCTTTCTTTCTTTATACCCTGGAAAAAGGGTAAAACAGGAAAATATACGGGAAGGAAAATAAAGCGATACGAAAGTATCCTCCCCCCCCATCCCCCCTACCTATTAAAGGGCTATTACGAGCTGCTTCTTTTTTATCCCTGTCTTCTTTTTTGTTTTTTTTTTGTTTAACCGTTGTTGTACACGATATAGCTAGAAGAGAATCTTCTGGTATATAAGACTAGTTCTCGTTCTTCCTGGTAAGGTATTCTCCGTAGGATTACTTCGTCGTGTAACGCGAAGGAACAGTATCTAAACGTGTTTCTTGTGATCCTGTCCATTGACACGATGTTCCGTCATTGTTCGACGAGTAGGATGCGCATCACAGTGATGCGCGTAAAATATAATTCTACTTTTTTTTTTTCTCTCCCCTTCTTCTATTTCCAACCATCAATTTCTTTCCTTTACTTATTTTATTTTATTTTTGTTTTGTTTTTTTCCTTTTTACAATCGAGCTAGACGGCTTTATCGTTTTCTTCCTTCTTTCGAAGATAATACCTACCTATTCGTGGTACTGTTAGTATGTCAAAGACAAGAAAACGTAGAAAAAGTGTACCGTCTAAAAGTAGTTAAACGTTTTCGTCGATGAAATAAGAAAAAAGATTTGAGATGAAGAAAAAGAAGAAGAAGAAGAAGAAGTAGGAATGGACGAACGAACGAACGAACGAATGAACGAACGTAGACGATCTTGCAAGAGTACGGAGGAGTAATTAAAAGCCGCCAACGCAACAGAAACGGAGAATTCACCCGTTGGAAATAAAACGAAAGGAAAGGAAAGGAAAGGAAACGAAACGAAACAAATGGAGAACTCGAGCCCATCTTCCGCGGCTAATCGAATTTTCGCCGGGGCAGATTTCTTGAAATTGTTTTCGCTATTTCGAGTCACTTCGTTCCGTCGGACGAGGATTCTGATATCTAATGGCTCACGTTGTTTAAAAAAAGAGAAACGGCAAGTTTCAGAATGAAAGAAACGGAGAAATGAAGAAAGAAATAAAGAGAGAGAGAGAGAGAGAGAGAGAAAAAGAAAATATACGAACTAAAAAGAGGAGTAATGAAAGAAGAAGCGAAGAAAATCGTAACGAAAGACCTGTCTGAACATAAATTGCAAGTTGAATCCTTTGAAGAAGAAAAAAAATTACAAGTAGAGACTTATTGAATTAGGTCCTGGAATTAATTAATACATATATACGTAATTAAAAAAAAAATAATAATCTCGACAGAATACATATAATATATTAAATAAAATTAACAAAAAGTTATATCTATCATAATGATCACGTAGAGAAGAAAAAAAAGAAATATTAATCAATGAAAACACATTTCGTTTCTTATAAATTCAATAGATACACGATGATGACATTATATCAGTAACAATTTCAGTTACCTAAAACACATCTAACCACATTAGAAATATACTCGATTATACTTTCTCATTATACATAAACCTACATCGAGCGTTAAGCAAGATTGTGTTTAGTTACCCCGCAATCTCGTTGAGTGTTAGTGAAATCGAAGCAGGTCTAAAGGCTTTGAAAATAAAACGAAATAAAAGTATCGACTAGGGAGAAAGAAACAGAAAACGACGGGTTGTTGTGTGAGGGATGGCAGGAGGAAGAGGAGAAAAAGGTTGCGAGGTGGTGGAGGTTGAGGAAAACGAAGAGGGGAGAGGGATGATCGTGGAAAGAGAAACGAAAGAGTTACGTTGGTAGCTCGAAACTTGGCGTGTCGGCGAAACATTATCCCTGGAAAAGGAAAGACAATACACTCCGAGCATAATATTATAATAGGCCGAAGCGTAAATGTATTATAGAGAGTACGGATCGGTACTACTCGGGCATGGAAGCCCTCGTATACGGTACCAGCCCCCCCCACCCCCATCCCGCCTACCCACCGACCTCCCTGCACACCCTTCTTCCTCATCCTTCAGCACTTTCTTTTTACTTTTCCTCCTTCTCCTTCCTCTGTTCTCTTCGACACTCACCCCTTTTCCTCCCACTCTTCATCGGGCAAGGGCGGATCTTAGAAAATGCGTAGTCATCCGAGCGTTTCTTTCATTGCAATCATTGTTTCTCCATTTGCACGTATATATATATATTATGTAAGTTAGTAGGCATTTATGTAGATGTATGCGTACGTCGTTATGGATCGATGATCATCTTCTCCTTCAAAATGAACCTCGTGATTGGATCGATATAAAAAAAAGTGTATTTAATATATTTAGTTAATGTTCTCATATTCATATCGTATTGAAATATTTAATAAATTTTTCGGTCATTCGTTATATATATATTAGTTTTTTTAAATTCACACTTATGTGTGTATATTCGAAAGTTATCGAAGCGATTACGCGAAAGAAGAACGCCGACGAGCGTATCTGTTAACGCTCGAAAAACCAGGACGAGATCAAAATAAACTCAACGACGTGCATTTTTGTTGTTATTTTTACATTGCGGGCAAGTATCCAATAGGATACTAAGTGTGCCGGGGCGAAGACATATTGCAAAATATCTATCGAGAAATGGCATAAAAGACGATGTCTGAAAATAAGATAAAGAGTTTTAAGTGAGCAATAGAAACGACGATACGAACATCTCTTAACATTTTCTTGCGCATGCGAGATACTAAGACGGAAAATTTATCGACGAAATAATGAAAAAAAAAAAAAATAAGAAGAGAAAAAAAGTAAGTCATCCCTTTTGTTCGGTCCAATAGCTCTTTTATTTCTTTTTTCACGATTCACGTCTACTGTCACGGAACCTTCGTATTTATTCGTAGTTTAGCAGTACAAAGGTTGAATGTCGTGTAACACGGTAGATTCTCCCTGTTCCCTGGGAAAACACGGACAAACAGAAAAAGAGAGAGAGAGGGAGAGAAAGACAAAATGAGACCCTTCTTCTCTGACTCACCTAACTCGCCCCTACCCTACTACCTTTTCTTAATTGCCCTCAGCGCGTAGCTCGG